GAGCCCTGGCGGGAGGACGGGAAGGGGCAGAGTTACGGGGCGGGAGCCCGAGCCCAAACTCTGCCAGGAGCAAGAGCTATTTAATTAAAATATGCCATTCCTGGCTCTAAAAAAACCCATGTCTCTTTATTGCTTTGGTGCAGCACTTGCAACCCCTACGCACGCCCTTCAGGTGCAGACTTTGTAAAAGCAGTGCGTAAATCTGGCTCCTGTTCCTCGGCCGGCCCCTCTGCTTGACGTTAATTGGTCTCCTCACCTGACGCTACCTGGGGCTGGCTCGACATCATGTTTTAAGTAAAACGCCTCCTTTTATTTCCCCTGCAAACACGTGGGGTCAGGAAAGGGTTAAGGGTGGCCCAGGGCGGTGGGTGCCCAGGTGTGGGGTATAACAGGGCGGGGGCGGGGGCAGTGCCTCTGAGCTGGGCTTGGGGCTCAGCCAGCTCTCGCCTATCTCCTCTTACCCTTTTCACCTTCTTTGCCTCGGCAGCGCTTTCAGCCTTGCTCGCGGTGGTTATGAACTCTGCAAAGGAAGGGAGAGGTTAGGGCGCCGGCGGCTCCCGCAGCCCCCTCGCCTCGGCCCGGCGCTGCAGCCAGCACCTTACCGTCCCCCCCTATCTGCGTCTCTTGGGTCTCTTTCATGCAGGCGTTGTCGTTTGCCCCGTACTCCTTGGCACTCTCGAAGTCCGACATGCTGATGTTCGTTCTGTAGCTCCCCACGGAGACCAGGTCTGCGAGAAGGGGCACGATAAACGCACAGCGCGGGTGAGCTGCTGCTCCCCTAGCCCCCCAAGCTCCCCGCGCTTTGGTGTAAGACCATCAGCCTCCAAACCTCCCCTGCGTCGGGAGACGCTGCACAACCCAACGCGCAAAGCACGCGGAGCGGTGGCCTTGGCTTTGGCCCTGGCCCACGCTGCGTCCGCTGGGTTTCACCAGCCGCCCGAGCAGTAGGGGCCGGTTCCCCGGTCTCCCCGTCGGACAGAGGAGTATCGGGGAGCAGCCGGGGCCAGCGGAGGCTGTGCTGCACGCACGAGCTTCTCCTTTATCTTAATATCGCTGCCTTCTCTTGTGAGACTCCGAAGGGCAGGGACTCACCAGATCTCTTTATCTGCCTGTATTTAAAAATAGCAAAAACGGTAGCAAGGACCAGGAGCACCGCACCAACAGGGCCTATGACTAAAGGAAGTACGTTTGGGCCGTGGCTTTCTTCAGGGCTAGAATAGAGAAAAGGATATAACATTCAGCTATGAGATGACTTTTTTTGACTTATTTGAGATGGATTCTTAGCAGTCTGAAATATATATACAGAATGGTAGATCGGGGCAAGCAGGACGCAATTCAACTAATGAACTGGATCCAAGCATGCCACGAGAGGATAAATAGAAACGTAGGATGGAGGTAGTGCCATAACAGCTAGATCAGCAGCTTCGTTATAAACGTGCGAAGGAAAACGCTCTAATTTTGACAGAAGTATTATTTTAAATACAGTTTTTCTGTCTCTGGAATTTCTAATCATTCTCATTCTTGTATGTTCTTACCTGGGCTAGAGAATAATTTCACTTCTTGCCCTTTAAAAGAAGTAAAAACAACTTTCTGCTGTAAGTTTTTCTTATTTTTCCCCTTATATTTTAAACTAAACCGACGACAATAATTTCTTTGTTGCTAAACTGCCCACCTAGTGTGCAAACACAGTCTTAACAGCGGGTTAAGATAAACTTCTCAAAAATAGTAAAAGACAAAGGCTTGGAAGGACTAACCTGCCTGCGGCAGCTGGGCTTCCCGCTCCGGCGTTGCTGCTGGCTCTGCCTTGGGGAATAACGCCGCCTTGGTCGCTGCCGGGAGCCTCGACGTCCAGCAGCTCGGGGCTGGGATTGGCGGCGCTTTCGACCGCTACCCTTGCTGCGGAGGAAGGGAGGTAAGTCGCGCTGAGCAGCGGTGGACGGACGGAGGGAGGGAGGGGATGAAAACTTGTGATTCATGTTTTGTGCCTGAGGCCCTGTAGCAGGTTTTGGGCTGTGTATATGTGACTTTAAAATGTGGTTCAGATGCCTGAAACAATGTAGCTCGAAATAATTTTATGCCAGAATCTCAAGTAGGCTCCCTCTGTATTCACATGTAGACTTTTGAAATTCGTTGTATTTTTAAGGCTAGTTTTTGCAATATTACAAGAACAAAACTTGAACTCAGTTTGCTTTTATTTCTTGCTCTTCACCCACCAAGGGCGGTGAAATGAGACTGTTTAACCAGTTTCACTTTCTAACAATCACGTGTTTAGGCAGGATAAGCTGCATGCGGGATTTGAAGAGCTATGCCATACTTCTCTGCTCTGCTTCCAACAACATCCCTTCCCAAGAAAATTATCTTCATTCCAAAATACTGCAGGGAAGCTGAGACCAAGCCCCTTGCTGGTAGAGGGGGGATTTGGTGGCTGCCCTTCCTCTCCTGTTCCCCACACTTCTCCCATCTATTAAGATCATAACCTCCCTGGAGTAAGATATATCTCCTAACTACCCGCAGCCTTTTACGCGGTAGATGTCAGACGCTGCATAATCTAAATGATGCTACAAATTGTAACAGTGACAGTTACTAGGAACAGAGTCAACAAGGAGAAAATGGAGTGGAAGGAAGTGATTTTTTTACGGGCTTGTTTTTCTTAACGACTGGGAGTGAGGAGGAGGCAGATACCAGTGAGTGGATGAGAGCATCCACAGAAAGCTGCACAAAAGCAAGGTGATCTTGGCACCTGGTGAATGTGATGGTTGTCTGGGTTGAGAGCAGTTTTGTTTTGAGGTGCTGCAACCTAGTGGACACGGAAAGCACTGCGTTTTCAGTAGAAGGCAGCACGATTCATAGCACTGACGAGCACCAAAGCCCGGCCTGCTTTTGCCTTGGAGCTCACCTCCAACTACTCGTAGTTGCACTGCCATGGTTTCCCCAAAGATGCCGTTGTGCTTCACTCCACACCAGTACCAGCCTTGGTCTGTCAGTGCCACAGGGTCAAAATTTAGGAGAAGTGTCTTGTTGGCTGTGTTACAGTCAACGTCTAGCTCCAGATGTCCTTGGTCAGAAGCGGTCACAGGGGTGCAGCCAGTGCTGGTCCACTTGCACCAGTACTTCTCGTAGGAGTAGTACTTGCATGGGTAAGAGCAAGCTAAATGTACCTGCGAACCCACATTTACTTCCACTTCCTTCTTTCCTGCTAAACTAGGTTCTCCTGTGAGGGAAACAGAACAGTAAGACTGAGATTAGCAGTTTCGGTAGTAGTCACGGTACCAAATAGGTAGCAATAGTGCAACGGGTGGACCACAAGACACATCTTTGAGGGAAAGTGTGTCTTATGTTGCTAAGTTAATGCTAAGGTGCTGTATACACATCTCTGGGTGAATGATGTGTTTTGTGAGGCTTAAGAGATACTTGTGATGAGAACTTGTTTGCAAACACTTCCCCATAAATCTGAAACCTCGCACTTCCATTTTAAAATGACTGGGGAAAAAAATCATTGCAAAATTTTGCCTTGTGAGACAGAAGTTCAGAATTAGAACTCATGTCTCTTTGCAAAATGCAACATCTGCTCTTTTGTAGTGCTTAGGAGGTTGTTTCCTACCCACTGTGCAGGCAGAGAGAACTGCTAACGTGCGCGCTCATACCGTCTATGATCTTCAGCTCCTTTGATGATTTTTTTTCCCTGTTTTCATCTGTCATGCACCAGTAATAGCCTTTGTCATTGTCCACCAGCTGGTTCAGGATGATGGTAAAGGTGCCATTCTCTGGGTCATCGTACATGGCTACTCTTCCTTCGTACAAGTCTGACACAAACCCAGAGCTGCCTATTATCCGAAAACACCCATTTTTTCTCCACTTGCACCAGTACTTCTCGGAGGCCCTTTCTCTAGGATTGTAGTGGCATTCAGCAGTTACCGAACCTCCTTTCACTCCAAATATTGTGTGTTTTCCTTGAGGAACATCTGTCCCTGTAGGTACAAAATGAAACAGGGAGTTATACAGACCTAACTTTTGATCATGTGGCAATCTCCCAGGAGAATAAGTATTATCGGGTTGAACAAAGCCGTACTTGTTTGCTGAACTAGGACTGGGTCAAGCTCTGGGCTAACAGATGGTAGGAGACCATCCTAGGATTGTTGGGAATTGACCATAAAGGATCTGTCAGGTCTTTCCTTTTTCCAAATTCACTTGGTTATTGTTGTCTTTGTGTATCAACATTTCTACGTATTACTTCCTTTGCAAGAGGAAGGGCAGGTCTTTTTCTTCCTACATGTATCATTTTGAGATTTAAGGAATTAAAAGACTTGAAGAGACAGTCTTTCTGTCTCAAACTTTGTAGGTAGGATTTGTCTTCTTGAGTTTTGGGCTAGCAAGACTAATTCACCAGGAAGGTAGCTAACCATTGCCAGGAAAATTAACTCAAGGTACAAATATGGGCTTTATTAGTGATGATTTAGTACACTACTGATAGACACATGAATGGAAAGAAGGGCCTATATGAGAGGATAGAATAATGCACTCTTGGAAAAAGAGATTAAAATTCTTGTTAAGTAAAATGAGACCATTAGTGCCACTCTTAAAGAGAAGCAGAGATGAAGGGAAACCATTTAGGGAATAGCTCACTGACCTTCATAGACATGCAAGTCCAGTTCCTTAGTTTCTCCAGTCTCTCCGTAGACCCCAACACCACACAAGTACAGCCCTGAATCTTCCCAAGACAGCTGAGTTATCATGATGCTGTACGACCCTGCAGTGTCCTGATTGCTCAGCAAAATGCGCCCTGCGTATTCGTCATCGACCTTCCCGTAAGTATCAATGACGTTCCGGCAGCCGGATTTCTCCATTTTGCACAAGTATTTCCTTTCACTCCCATACTGTTCGCCAAAGGAGCAGGACATGGTCACAGAGCCTTGCAGCTCCACATAGAAGAGGTCGGCTTCTTCAGGTATGTTTGGACCTGTGTGAAGGTGCACCAGTCAGTGTCCAGGGCCCGCAACGTCAGGTGGTCTGTACGCTACTCCACTATACTGCCGTATGCTTTCTTGTAGCACAGCACCTTTCTATACTTTGCTATACTATACCATCCCGCGCCACTCCTGCTTAGAGCATGAAAGCTCCTTGCGGTGTTGTCTGTCATACGTCTCGGGACTGTGGTGTCTCTGCCGTATCCCTGCTCTACAGCAGGGTTTCTCCCAGAGCCTTAGTGCTGCAGGCTGTATGATGAGTTTGCACCGTGCTCTACCTTTGCCCAGCCAGTCTCATGCACCATGCTGTAGTGGCATTGTACCCAGTGCACAAACGCAGCTGAAATATCCTTGTCCTGGGGTTGAAACCTGCCTCTGAGAAGATGGGCACACCTGAGTGATTGGTAATCCTGCCCTCTGTCTTAATATCCCTAAATTTCAGTGAATGGATGATAAAAAGCGAGTAGAGAGGTCAGCAGCTTCTAAACGAAGTGTGTGACCTTAAATGAGGTTCATTTCATCCAATTTTTGTGCTGGATTAGTGGTCAAACAAAACTTTACTCCCTAAAACACCAAGTAAAAAGAAATTGAAAACTGCTATTTCCGGAAAATGTGGAACATCTGGACACCATGCCAAGACAAATCTCCCACAGAGCCTTAGTAAAAATGGAAAAAGTAAAAGAAAACCGATACTCTAAGGTTTTTACCTTCAGAAACATCCACTTTGACTTGGAAGGAGAGTCCTCTGCCGTTGAGACCAAGACCACATCGATAAGTGCCTCTGTCCCCCAGTGCTAGCCGTGACATATTAATTAGGAATATGCCTTGCTCTGGGTAGTCAGTGATGGATACTCTGTCCTGGTAGCCGCGAGCCGTGTAGCCATTGGAAGAGACGATGGTCAGGCAGCTCCTCGTTGACTCCCTGCACCAATACTTTCTGTCGTGCCTGTTCACCTTGGTTTGGGGGTAGAAGCATTTCACAGTAACTGATCCTTCCAGCAAACCGTTCACTTCCCTCGGCCCAAATACAGGGTTCAAAACTGAAAGAAGAAAATGCGTCGCTCTAAACGTGCAGCGTGCTGCACGACCTGGTGGTATCGCAGGGAAGGTCGGGTGTGCCGGGCAGACGCAGGCCCCGGCCAGCAGCATCGCCGGGGCTGCGAGGTCCCAGTGCAGCCGTGGGTGCTGCCGGGAGCCCCCCAGCCCTGGCCTGGTGCCTCGGGCATGTTTCACTTACCTGCTTCTTTGGGTGGATATTTGCTTCTAGCAGATTCAGCGTGCAGCAGGGAGAGCAGGAAGATGAGCACTAGGAAAGTCATTTTTCTTTCATTCCCTGGAAAAGGCGCAGAAGTCGGTGAATGATCACACTTGTAAAGTGGTTAAGTTACCTGATCAAGGCAGCTGATTCTCCCTATGCCTGGAGGATATGGAGCATTACAGCTGCTTGAGCTAGAGGGAAACACCCTGGCCCCTCTGGCTCCCTGTCCCATGGTCCCCAGAAAGCGTTCAGGATCTGGGAAGTGGCAGCTTAACTTGTCTTTTCCTACCTCATTTATACAAAGACTTGCGCACAGCCAAAAAACAAAGCTATTTCAACCAAAAGAGAAGAGATCCAACTCAAAATCCAGTGTTAAACCTGGTTGCACCCTTGTGGATCAGTACAGCCCTTCGCACGGTTCAAGTCCAAAGATGGTCCAAAAGCAGCTGAGCTCTAGAAGGCATGAAAGTCAGGCTGGGACCCGGATCAAAACTACTGACCTGACCCTTGTCAGAAGATAACACCATTTCTGATCGTTTGGTATATTGGGGTCATATTTTCTTTCAATGTTTCTCACGCCATGAAAGGAAGGCTTGTTCACTTGTCAGCCTAGGTGCCAAAACCACTCCTTAAGATGACCAGGGTTCCTATCTGAAGCTGTATTTAGTTTCTGATCTTTGCTTCCCTGTTCTCTTCAAGGACACTTGCCAATTGAAAGCAAGGATAATATTCTTTCCTCTGTTTTATTTTCTCTTTCTTTCCTCAGCTGCTGATAAAGCTAGTAAGACGAAGGGATTTAGCACCCCAGAGAGTCAAGCTTAAACCAAGTAAAGTACTGTCCCCATTCATACATCGGACCAAGGCTACTGCACCAAAACCACCCCTTGGCCGGGACTCAACGTGACACATATCACGGCATTAAGAACGCCAAATCAAACTGCAGGTTTCTCAAAATGTCTCTATATTCTTCAGGTTGAATATTTCAGACCGTGCCTAGTTTTGAATTGAGTGATGGTCCAGAGAGAGTCAAGGCTTTTAATTTTCTGAGACCTTTTTCTCTGCCCTGCACCAAGTGCAATGTAGGATATTGCACAGTGCAGCGGTGAGGATGTCCATCTCCTGAGCACGATTGTTAACCTACCTGGTTATTCCAAGTTCTAGAGAGGGTGATGGATGCCAAGAAAAGTCTTTAGAAACATCCGCAAGAATTTGATTTCTGGGTATCAAGTGACAGGATTTATTTTACTAGGGGTAATTCCCGGTAAAAGAAAAAGCCTTTCATTTCCTTGTTAAGATGAAAGGTCTTCTGTTGTGCTTTCTTCCTTGTGTTGTGATCTCTAATTGCTCAGTGGCTACTTGTCTATGGCTAATAATTAACTCACTGAGCATGAAAAATGTTCTTTCATACACATCCCAGAAGAAGCCAGCAAGACAAACATAACCCACTTTGCAGAAAGCAAACAATACAGCTCAGAAAGGGCCCTGCTATTTGACCCTTGCTAGCAACAGTTCCTTACGGCTAATGATAGCGTTGCTGCCTGCCCACCGCTCGCTTTCTTTGCCACACGGGCGATAAAGAAGTGGGGAAGGGATGGGATTCCGGTCAGCTTTCCCTTTCTTAGCAAAATTAGAATAATCTGTTAGTCCAATTCCTTCTCCAAGCAATCAGCTACTGACAGCTACTGCATTCATGACAGCATCTGTCAGGTGATAAAGGACGTTCCTTGTAAGAAATAAAGATATAGCTGTGTCCAGAAGGTTTGTGCGAGAGTGGGGGTAGTGAGGTCTGCATATACATGCATAAGAGCGTGAAAGGACTTTTGCATCTTTATTTTTGAGTACGCCTGTGTGCATTTGTAGCTACGCAAGAATAACAGTTTGTGTGACAAACGTCCGGGACTTCTGAAGCCACCTCTGCGCTGCAGTCCTGTTCTCTCAGACCTGGTAAAATCCTTCTTCTGCTTGCTGAATGAATGGAAGAAAACTTCCTGCATATTGCAAGCCCAAGCAAGCACAGCCACCCATTACGTAAAAACCTCTGCCAGGCACTTCCATATTGATCCATTCACTTATAGTACTGGAAACCCCCTCTTTGTGTCTACTACAGATTGCACTCAGCACAAATGACACTTCCTAGTCCAGGCAAATGGTGCAAACCAGCTTTGCTGCTCAGTTTGCAATAAACTAGCCTGGTTCAAGATGCTGGAAGAGAATTTTATGAAACCTCTGTCGTTGAAAGAGCTCTTGTTCCTTTTTTGGTGTGAAAGAGCATTTTCTGCTGGATTTGCTGTGCTTAGGCAGAGCGTGAGATTTAAACCTCAGAGCGCCAGAGAAGGAACATGATTGTTGTGCTCGTATGAAAGGGACCGCAAGTAAGTGGCAGCACGATTCATTTGTGTTAATGCTTCTGCAGGCGGAGGGGGAGCTGGAAGGAGAGACAGAGGGCAGATGGGACAGCAAGTGTTTGCTGGGGGCTGTAAAAGAGTCAAGAGGGCTTGGGACCAGAGGGAAATACCAGCACCTAGCTGTGCTGTCTCCAGAGCAGCTGGAGGGCAAGTTTATGACACCAAAGGGGCATGCTAGTAGATCTGAAGGGCTCGTATACTGTGGTGTGCCCAAGGACGATGCCTGCCGAAACTGCAGGCAGCTGGAGAGGTGCCGAGAAGTGTGTGTGTGTGTGTGTATATGCCCGGCTGTACCCTTCCCTGCCTCTGGCTGTAACCTCACAGTTTTGTCCTAGCTTTTTAGGAGCCGAGGAAAGGAAATAAAATAGTTTTTCGTTATGTATTGGTGAAATCTTTTCTGGAGCCAGCAGTGGAGGCAAGGTTTCATTTTGGGCTTCATATGCAGATACAAACGGTATCTGTGTTTGCCCACTGTATCTGCCCGCACCAGCTGCTTCAGAGAAAGGTGCAAAAGTCTACAGCAGGCAGTGATGCAATGACTGGTCCGGAGGGATTTCCTTAAGTCCCTACCAGAGGGTGCTGTTTGGCATGAAGCATGAAGCTTCCTTATAGTCCTCCCAAAATCTTCCAAGAGAAGCTGAATTTGAGCACTCCATATAGAAATAGTTGCACAGACTTCACAAGTGACTGACAATCCTCCTCCGTGTCTCTCAGGGGCTGCACAATATGTTTAGTTTAGACTCTGAGTTGAGTCATGTTGGGTTACTCATGCTGCCATGCAATTGCATGGATTCCCCTCCATTTGTGTCTGTCTCTCTCCTGCTTTCTCCTCTTACAGAAGCTCATGTGAACCCCAGACTTGTGCGTGGAATTTCTGATCTCTGTCAGAGCAGGAAGGACCAAGAGCGTGAGACCACGGTTTCTCCAAGGATTGATAGACGTGGAAAGTTCTCTACCAGGGAAAACTCGATCCTAGTGTACATGAGCAAGGGCTGCTCTGAGAGCGTTAGCACTGGCCACCTGGACCCTGTTTAGTAGCCTGTATGCACGGAGCTGCACGAGCTGGTGCAGAAGTGCCTGGAGCCCACCGCACTGGCCATCGAACCTCTTGTGTGGACCATGGTGGGTGAGGGCTGCCAGGCTGAAAGGCTTGTAGAGGCAGAACGATTGAGGAAAACCTGGACACACCGGAAGTTTGGTTTGTGCCGTGTTTGACCATGCAGGCTAAGGGCTTGTTCTCCGGGCTGCTGATCCCCAGGCTTTGCAACAGCATTTTAAGTCATATGCTGTCTCAAAAACCTGATGCATTAAAAAAGCAAGGAAAAACAGGGGAATCCAGTTATACCCACTGAGAAAGTGTCTCCAAGGAGCACGTCTGCAGCGCAGGGCGGAGGAGTTGTGGGGTGGAAGCGGTCAGGCTGGGAATGCTTTGCGGGAGCCCCCTTCTTTGGGGTTTTCCCACCTTGGTTGGCCTCCGGGCCAGCGCTGCCAGGCCCATCTCCACGGACTGCTGCATTGCCTCTCGTGGTTATAAGTTTAAGTTTAAAATATGTTTTGATAGGTAAAGGGGGAAAAATCTGAGGGTAAAATAAGCTTGTACCAGTTCGCCCACACTTCACTTGCAGCCCAGAACTAGAGAAGTAATTGTGAGAAAACCTCGCAGTTGGCATGACTATATTTGCAGCTCTGGTGTTTGGAAAGTCCCTCCCACAGTCAAAAGGCCATGTTCTCTCCTGGCATAAACCTGTAACTGCCTATTGCAACAGAGGTCCTGTTTGGATTTATATCAGCTGTGGATTGGGACTGAAGTCCTTTCTTTTTCTTTGTCCTTTAGACACCACTCAAATCTTGTTTCTTGAGAAGTGGAGTTTGCTTTCATTTTGCACCATTAAAATTGCCAGCTTATTCCTCTTCCCTGTCCAAATATAAGGTGTTTGGAAGGCCTACAGCACAAAGCCAACCCTATAGCTGAGCTCACCAGACGCGACGTCTTTGTATGTAAGTGCCGGAGTACTCCGACCTCACCCCAGGCCCAGGGTCCCACCACTCACGTGGACAAGGCAATGGGGTTGCCTCGTTGCCAAGTCATTCTGCCAGGCTGTGGTGGCTCTCCGCTTCCTCGCTGTTTGTAATAAGCGTGTGTGTGCTTGTGCATATAATGCAACAAGTGTTTAAAAGAATCATATTGTGCAAAACAAGAACAGTATAGGCTAATCATTAACAAAATAATACTAACAAATCAAGAATATTTAGTTGTTATATGCTAGAAAACAGAAGATTCAGCCATTAGTAAGTAAAGGACCTGTAACTTTCCCCTATTTGTCTTTTTCTTGCTCAGCCTGAGCTGCTGCATATTCATGCCTGTGAGCCTGGGGACAACCGGTGAAATCCCCATCGAGGGCAACCGCACGGGCACTTGAAGGCATGAGAACGCGGTAATGTTCAAGTGTTGATAAAAGCCCAAACATGGAAACTTGTTACAGCTTGCAACGTGTTTCCATAATTTGTTTTTTGTTGCTGTATTTTTCTACTACCGCCTACGCGCATTGCGGAATGGGACGCGTCGCCGCGCTGCGCAGAAGCCAGCAGCAGGGCCTTTGCTAGCTACCTCCCAGCTCATAGAGGAGGGCACGCTGTGAGTCAGGTTCAGCGTGAAAAGCGTCGCAAATGGAACAATTACAAGGTCCTTTGCAAGATCATTACCTTTTTTTCCCCCTGTTTTCCAACTTAAAAGAGCTGAATATTGTTGTCCTGTTAGTACCACCTTGACAATGAGTAACCTACACCATTCTTATTCAGTATGCTGCCATGCTCTTACACCTTGCTGCATGTCCTTACGGCAGAGTGGCAAAGAAAAATTTCAGTGGGGCTTGTAATGTTCTGGGGAAGATAGTCCCCAGCCCCACAAGAAGCACCTTTATGTATTTGTTGGAAATGTCTTTGGCGTGCCTGTCCGCTGTGCCAGGCTGGAGTAGCTATGGCGCTGCTCCCTACCGGGCCTCCCGGGCGAGAGGTTTTCCTGCTGGCCTGTGCGGACGCTCGCTTGGATCCCATGGTGCCGAAAGCGCTCGCAGACTCCCTGGTTTGGCAGGGTCACCTTCCCCTCCAGGAGTATTGCAAGCCTATGCTTAGAAAGAGTGCTTGAAAATGCTGGGGAAGAGGAATCTTTTCGTACCCTCCAAACAGGTTAGCACCCTTTCTAACTAGCATTCAGCAGAAGTCCACCTCCCCATGGAGGTTTCCATGGGGCTTTCATGACTCTATCGGTCCTGGGGAGGGATAGCTTCAGATTTACGACGATGTGAAAGAGTTCAGGACCTGGCCCCTGAGTTATGCAAACACAAGCAAGCCACTGCTCTTGCTGGGTATGAAATGCCAGAGTTCAGTCCCCAAATTCTGCTGACTCAGCTCTGAGGCTGAGCTCCAAGAAACTGGTACACTCATAATGCAGCTAGCCAGAGAGCAACACAGTCTAATCCATTAGCTATTAACTATTGCTCTTAGCGATGACTAGTGTCAAGGACGGGCTATGGGACTAACGAAACATGAAGAACTGGTCGCCAGACTTGTAGTTCTATTCTAGGAATCCTCCCTTATTGTAGCATATTTACTGTTATTCAAATACTTAAGAGATTATAACATACAGAAAGGAGTAATAATTTTTTCCCCCCTCAAAAGCCTATTAAAGAGCCTCACCATGAGTGAGATACACTGCTGCATATTGCTGTAGACCTACGCGGCAATTGCACTGTGCTGAGCAGTAGTGTCAGAGGTTATACTATAAGGATAAACATTTGAATGCATGCTGGGGATGATTCATTGAGGTGCTAACGCCTTGCGTGCCTAGAAGAGGGGCCTAGAAACAGACTTTTGCTATATAGAAGTACTGAGGTTATCTACATTTTTATACTA